TTCAAGACTCAATAGTTCATGTCAAAGTGGAACCATAACAGTTTTCTTTTAAGGAGTCGCCAGCAAAAAGTAAAACTGTATTTATGAAGCGCCTTTCAAGATGCTCATATTAAACATGCCCAAAGTTTCAGATAATAAGGTCAAGGTGTGTTCAAGTAACCACAGGCTTCAGACTGCTCTAAATATTAAGGGTCAGATTCTGTTTCAACATTCGGCTCAGTATGAAGTCAGAGAGATAGCTGTGAGCACATCAGCCCTACTTTCAAACCTTCTGTTTTGGAGGGAGAGCCAATCAGAAGAAGGTTGGCAAATTGATGTGCTGCACCATGGCCCAGTATAAGATAAATAAGGATTATTTTGAACTTTGACTCATTCTACTAGAGTCCAAAAAGAATAGAGTTGGCAATGAGCTCAATAAGGTCTGAGCCAAGAGTCTAGCCAGTATATCAGTGGGGCCCATGTATAGGCCGATATTAGCTCCTTACCGATATATTGGTACTGGTATTTATAGCAGTCAGAATATAAAAATTAAGTAATAAAATAGATGTGAGAAAGATGTACACGTGTGTGTGTGTGTGTGTGTGTGTGTGTGTGTGTGTGTGTGTGTGTGTGTGTCTGCCACAAATACAACCAGCAGAGTCGAGCAGAGCATATTGTAACCCTTGACTTTTGACAATAAAACTGCATTGTTATGTTATCTTAATAGTGACTCATAAATAACACGCACAACAAAATGTTAGGGAAATCTGTTTGTGTTTTTGTGCGTTTCAAAAAATGTAATAAAAATTGTCCGATATTAGATATTTAATTAACTAAATATCTATCTCAAAAAAATTTTATCTGTCAGGGTCTACAAGTTTATCTGAAGAGGGGACTTGAATAAATATATTTATTCCTATAATCTATTTGATGAATACAAAAGTAGGGGTAGGACATAATTCAACTTCTATCCCTTAGGAAGTGCATGTGATCACCACAATGCAGGCACTCCCCCACACACAGACCAGCTCAGTTGCTGAGGTGACTCACCAATCAGAGGGCGCAGGGGAAGGACAGTGACACATTCGCCTTTGTAGCTGAGAACAGTCACGGGGAGATGAAGATCAATGTGCTTGCATGAAGATGGCCACGCTGAGAAACCACAGAGCAGCCACCTCATATCCTTCACCAGATGACTTGGAACAATCACGAGAGCATGGAAGGAACTGATGAGGAAACAGGCTGCGCAATCTTTAGCTCAGCTGGCTTCAGCACATCGTACTAGCTCCCTGCTTCATCTCACCATATTGACACCTGCATGAAACTGATCACAACAATAGTGCCTTTTACAGAGCAAGCTGGTGTAAATATAGTTACAATTAATGAGTTAATGAGTGGCATTAGAGTGGAAACCTATAGCACCATCAACACGTGGCAACAACAACTTGGGCTGATTTTTGACTCTTGTGAAACACAACCCCACCTTCAAAACTGTTTTCGTCCTGAGCCACATGTCACTAAGCCTGTTAACCAGTGAGCACTACCAGGAACATCAGCTTAGTAGGTGATATAACATTACAACAGAGAGGAATGTTCCTGGTAGATCCTGCTGTTCTGTGAAATCATTTACCGTAATTGTCGGGCTATAAGCCGCTACTTTTTGCACAAGCTTTGAACCCTGCGGCTTTTAGTCAAGTGCGGCTTTTCTATGGATTGTCCATGATTTTTGTCATATCGTAAGACTATTTGTTTTATTTGTTCCGCTGTTGTACGGCACTACGTTGCCTGGCGGAAGGGCATGTGATCTGACACACAGTATCGGGGTTCAAGAGTGGTATGTTGGTCACATGTCCATCCGCCAGGCAACATAGTGTTGTACAAGTAGCGCGAAAAACAAACTTCAAAGTAGCGCTACCCGTTCAGCAGGAGACGTGGATGATGAGCGCCGATAAACTTGCGAAAAGCAAGTTATGCTCAACTCCACCAGTGGAATCTGACAGCGTGGAAAAGTTTGAAAACATCCATGATCACCAACGGATTTCGAAGGGCTGGACTGCTGCATGATGGAGAGGAGGACACCGCCACGGCCCTTCTGATGGTGTTCGACACTGACACTGACAACGAGGATTTGTTTGGTTTTGAAAGTGACAACAAAGGAAAGAAGCTGAGAGTGGATGACGAAGCCATCCTGAGCCTGTTCGTATCCGACACTGGAGAAGGGGACTTTGGTGGTTTTAGTGCGCAGGAAGAAGAGAAAGATGGTGGTGAATGACTGACTTTTCTTCTTGTTAAAGCCGTGTCACTGCACCTGAGCCTAAAAGGTAGTCCGGATCCATTTTTCTGGTGTGCTGTAGGTTATTGTTATGTACTACATTTGTTACTCATTTATGAAGCACAGTACATGTTTCGTTCCATTACCGCTACTTGTACATATACCTAAAAAGTTATGCAAATATGTACCCATAACTTGTTATTCAAAATATTAATAAAAGGGGTGTGTCTCCAAACAGCCATCTCTTTCCTGACAATTCCCTTTGTGCATATTCTCTTACATATGATAAGTCAACATTGAAACACCTGCGGCTTTTAGTCAGGTGCGGCTAATGTATGTACAAAACAGGATTTTCCCCTGATTTTAGCTTGTGCGGCTAATATTCAGGTGCGCTTTGTAGTCCGGGAAATACGGTAATAACATCACTATGCATGCTTCCCATAAACCTGTTAGGAAGTGCAATCCCTGCCAAATCAGGCAGGTGACACTACTGACCAAGTATGCAGCTACAAAAATGTCTGCCTGCCACACGAGTCTCGCACAGCAAACGTGATAGCAGCTAGGCCCGCTTCTTGAAGTACTCCGCAGCTGGAGCCTTCACCCAGAACTTCCCAGAGGCTGGAGATATTCAAGCCAAGCTGGACGGGTTACAATCACACTCATCACTGACTCAGAAAGCTTACATCTGGGCTCACCTACAACAGCAAGCTGGCCTTTTAATCCCCTCATGTGGTGACATGATAGAGGCAAGGATTAAAAGCCAGCCAGCCATCCAGCCAGTCAGTCAACACCACTGCCCTGCCTGGCTGCGTACTTGCATCATCGTCCCCAGTGCTTCACTTAGCTTTTACTGCAACTGGGGAAGGACAGTTCAGCAGATGCTCGAGACCAGGCTGTGGTCATATAAATCTATAATGCAGTACCATTACTCCTGCTATACTTCATCTATAAATAGGCTGCAGGCAACCTTCTGTGAATAAACAAAAATACTGAAAAACAGTTGATCAGACCAATACAGTTCCAACACACTGCAGAAATTTACATAACAGGCAGACTTCAGCCCTAAAAGTGTTCAGGATGGCGTTCATCCTCAACTCAAGCTTTCTGGACTCTCTGCATCCCATGAACTTGAAACAAGACAACACACTTGCAATGAAAATTCAAAGACAGACATACATTTTAATCACACAAGCTAAGCCATAACAACAGGATATAAAGATCAACATATAATGATCAGATATTTAATAGAGTGCCTGCACTGATATTTGAAGGAAATATTGGTAAAGAGTTAACAAGTGTGACCAAAATGTTTACTTTCAAATAAATTTTTTTTAAAAAAAGCACTATTTTAAGTAAATTTTCACAACTACTTCTCCCCTTAATCAACAGTCTGTACCTTGCACCTGCATTCAAACTTGGCCTCCTCAGTAGCACAGATGTGGCTGTTGCTTTCCCATAGCTCTGGCTGCGCTTCCCCCTGCAAGCCCGGTGTTTCCGACTGCTCATTCTCTTCTAGATGCCGGCTCGCTTTGACAGTCTGAGGTACTTGAAGCCATCTGCTCTGTGCTGCGCACTCCATTCTCTCACGTTACTACCAAACATTTGGCTAAAGGGTCTTTAAGCTGGGTTTCCTTCGGGGTTTGGTTTAATAGGATAGGATCACTGACGTAGTACAGGGTGTGGGTGGGGAGTGCATCCCACCCGACTTGTCCTTTCACCGGGTTTCACCCAATTTCTAGGCTTTCTGAAGCCAAAAAAAAACACACTAAAGTGGCATGTGTATTAGTGCAACAGCTGACCACTACTTATAAAGTCCACTACAAAGATAACAGGATATGCAACTGTTAATAAAGCTCTTGCAATCATTTTCTTATCAAATAAAAAAAAAAGTCCTTTCCTTGAACGTTGCCCTTCTTCTGTCCTAAAAAAGACCTTGTAAGGAGCAGAGCGATAAGACAACCACAGCTAAACAGTGTCTAAATCCACCTAAGGTATCAATTATAGGTGTTACAGACTCAAAGAGGTTTATTTTTATAAACCAGGTCACAGGGGTTACACATCACTGACTACTGTTACAGCCAAGTTAGACCACACACCTGCATAAATTTGACTAAACTAAAACGGCATGTCTGTTTTACAGGCAGTGAACTGTGAATAGTTTTAACATAATAATCTGAGGTCAAGCAAGGGTCATGAAGTTCCACAGAAGGACACCCAAGTGTCAATAATCAGAGCTTCTTCAAAAATAAGAAAGATGTGTGCCACAATTAAACTATGACTGAAAAGACCATATCCGAAAAATGTAAGCGGTCTGTGTTTTGCGTTTGTCACGTTTATGCTCAAGATAATGTGACACAAATATACACAAACCTACAAAAGCATGTGGGACCTCATGCTATGAGAGAGCTTTTAAATACCCAGTATCAGCACAACTTGTGAGAACAGTTGGATACTGTCGCCCACCTCCTGAGTCCTAAATATTTCACTTAAATGTCAGCCTTAGTGAAAACGGGTATGAGAAAAAGAATAACATTCCTTCCCTTGTGTTATAAGCAGTGAAAAGCATCATTTAAACCGTCAACGGCCGCCGCCGATTCAGCTTTGGTGCCAGCTAGCCTGTTAGCATCGTCACACAATGCCAGCTTTCCCAGCAAGCTCGCGCTGCGGCGAGGTCCTCAGTGGTGGTCCAGCAACAGCGAGATATACAAAAGCACTTATGTGGAGGGGAGAAAAATGCCGCCTGTCTTACCTTTTTCATGCGAGGAGCCTCGGCAACGGTTCCGTCCCGGTTGACAAACGCCTCCCCGCCGTTCTGCTGCGGGTCCGAGCGTTTCATAGACGACGCTTGAGGCATCTTCGCCGGGTTTGGGGTGAGCAAGCCCGTGCCTCCTTCCCCGGCTTTCGCGGAAGGCTCCGCGATAGGGGACACGGCAGCCGCGGAACCGGCCTCGTGCGGGTCGTTTCTGGGGAGGTTCTTGCCTTCCGACGTGGGTGTCACCGGGGATTCAGCCGGCAGGTCTTTGCCGGTGGGGACGTCTTTGAGTTCGACCTCTGCCATTTTCGCTGCCACAACCTGGACTGACATCGCTGCAGTTTCTCAAAGTCCTTTTTCCAGCACGATAGCGAGTCAAGCGGATGTGAGCGGAGGAGCCACGACGGCCAAATGCATTGTGGCTCTTGTAGTTCCACTAAGTAGCTCAATGGCCCACAGGACACTTCTCACACCACTTATTCGTTCATGAGTAACGTTTTATTCGACGTCAATACATGCAGCAAAAGAACAATATCGTTACTTATTATTATAATACATTTAAATTAGCTAAAAAGAGAGTCCTAATAGACATTGAGACCACATTTCCCAATAGAGATAGCCGGGTTGTTAAATACACTCTGGGAAATGCAGTTTTTAATAAAAAGAGGACGACAATAAACTACATAACAAACGTGAGCTTTGCAGATAATGCGGTTTCAAGAGACAATCTCATAAAATGCACACTTAGATCTTTTTTGTGAAAAATAATCAAATTTCTTTCTAAAATAAAATATTTACAACGTACAAAATCCACTACTGGTGGTGGTCAGAGGGCCCGGTTGCGCCAGTGTTCGGCAGCCTTGCCTCTGTCAGTGCGCCCCAGGGTGGCTGTGGCTACAATGTAGCTTGCCATCACCAGTGTGTGAATGGGTGCATGACTGGATGCGTAAAGCGCTTTGGGGTCTTTAGGGACTAGTAAAGCGCTATACAATTACAGGCCATTTACCATTTTACTTGTTTTGTCAAAGTAAGCAAGAGCAGGCTGCGCTATTACACTCTGTGTACCAGAGTGTTTATCAATACTCTAGTCAATATACTGCATCACATAATGCGGTGGTACATAAGACGGGTACAAGACGAAGGTCAAATCACAAATAAGGAGCTGCACTGCCACCAAGTGGATGCCTAAGATATTAAAAAAAAAAAAAAAAAAAACAGATCTCAAGCACACTGCGTACAGTTCAAGGAAATGAAGAAACAAGTGTTTTCTATAATTAATATTTCAATTTAATTTCCAAGTCTCGTTTGACACTTGTAAAACAGCTTTATCGAAAACAAACAAACATGTAGAGGGTGGTATAAAATCTAAGGAAAAGAAATATTCACAGAAACAGACGTTGGTGACTTGAAGGCTTTTCATCTCTCCATCACACATAGTTCAACTGTTGTACATGTATGTGCAGCATTTCCGCAGCTGTACATATACGTACAACTGCTTTCAGCATAGCTGCAATATCCACTGGTCTTTTTTTTCCCTCCCCAGTAATTCAAGCGCATGCCAGGAATAATCCGATTATTGCATTCTAAACTACAACAGGACAGGCGGGGAAAGCGACAAAAAGTTGCTATTTACATTCAAGCTGATGGGTCTGAGCCCTTGCTGTCCACCAGATAAATCTGAGGTATATTATTTACAAGGCTGCCATGCGGGTACATTCTTAAAGTAAAAAATCAGAAACTCCAAACACTGTTAAAAAATACAGCTCTTTGTTGTATCATAAGCACTCTGTGGTGAAAAAGAAACATGTCTCTAAAAATGCAAATGAAAACACAGCAGGCTGTCAATCATCAAAATGTTCAAAGAACATGCATCTACTCTAACTGAAGTCTTGTGTGCTGTTTATTTGCTGTTGTGTTTTTTTTTTGCTCATGTCCACCAGAAAGGGGACACACATGTCCTCAAATCCACTTGGAGTTCCCTTGTAACTTAATATTTGAGGATGACGCCTCAGTCCTCAAATATCCACAGGATGTTCACACCTGAGAGGCCCAGATTCACTCTCCTGAGGAGAATATGAGAACAATTTAACCACAGTACACAAGACAAGGTCAAAGTAGTCACTTAAAATAAATAAAAGTCTATCTTAAATCTGAACTTTAGTGCATCATTTCTATCGGGAAAATGAATCATTTCATGATTCTTTCTAATGGCTCTGTTCACGTTGGAGATTAAAATCCAACTAGCTTTGAATAAAGAGAAACACTCACCCCAGCATCCCTGACTCCTTGGTCTTAATAACATAGAGGAACATGAGGATTGTGTGGAACAGGTTGTTCCTGCCCTGTAACCGAAATCAACATAGGTTCACATCAGCGCAATAAAGTGTTACAAACAAGCAAGAAAACCTCAAATGTTACTGAACGATACGCCCGTTACATGCTGGCTCTTTCTCTAGGACGAGGAAGGCCCATGGATTTAAAGTAACAAGAGTTATTCTTTTATGAATAAAACATGGGTTTTTGATTTGCAAATCATTTTATTCAGCATCCCAACATTTGATAATGTGATAATGGCATTAGTATTTTAAGTTATCCTCCATGAAGGAGATTTTAATGTTTCCTTGGGAAAACAGAGGAATATGTAACAACCGCAAAATTATTGGTTACATTGTTAATTTAAACACTGCCTACAAATGGCCAACAATTTTACAACTGGTGCATTCCTAAAAAAAAGAAGAAAATAAAAAGGAGTGAGAACCTTGGGAAGACTGTAGACATGTCCTTGGTAGATGAGCTGGTAGTGAGGAGGAGTGGTGCTGCTTTGATGAATGCAGAAGAGGTTCTCCTTGGTAACATCTATGAGTTAATACAAAAAGGTGACACAAAAGAAAAAAAAAAGCAATGCTGGATTTCAAGGAGGATCAAACAGTGGCCATCTTAAGTCTTTAAGTACTATTCTTCAAATCCTATCTAATGTTGTGCTCACCAGGTTTGTCCGGGGTGTGGCTAAAATGTTGAGAAGTGAAAGTCTTCCCATCTGGGTACTTTGGGTGCGGAGGCAGCCTGGAGTCCAGGTATGTGCAAAACACATGCATGAGGATCTGAGGAGACAGACACGTAGTTATTGTGACACAACTGAGCCACAGCGTGTGCAGTAAAAGAGCAAGGTCGCTTTGATCTGACGAGTAGAACAATTACGGTAATTATTCCAACCTTTGCTACTGACATTTACTTTTTAGCTCATTCAAACCCCATCCTTGTCCTTTAGAAGCATTAAAAAATCATTTATATGATGAGAACTGAACACTGGAGCAATTTAAACACATTTTGAGTATACTCACATGTGACATTTATTAAATGCACATAATAAATAAATAATTGCTGCTCATTATGTCTGTGTGGATATCGCTGGGTGTGGTCATGTACACTCACAGCACAGTCAGTAGGAAGGTCTGTATCCCATTTCCTGTTCTTCAGGTCACCACCACCGTTCCAGCGAAAGGAGCTCATACAACCGCTGTGAGCCAGCTCTGACACAAAGAAGAAATAAAACACACAGCACATATGCAGTGAAGTCCAATCACAGGTCCACAGTGTTCATTTTTCATGGCTGAAAATAACACATTTTATTTAGTTTGATGCAGGTATACAGGACTTTTTTATTCATATATATACATATACATATATCTATATCTATATATATATATATCTCTCAATTAATGCCTATATGCTTTAATATTAAACGCACCCTTTATCCGGTCCACTAGATACTCCTGGTTGGGTGTGATATCCAAGTATTGGACAATAGAGTTCAAAGTAGGGATGGAGGAGGCTTTGGTCACTGCTGCCTGTTTCAGACTGCTTATGCTGGCCTCTGGTGGAGAAAAAAAGTGAAAAGGTAAAGTAGCTGGCATAACAGTGCCTACAGAGTGTCAATTTCAATTGATTTGGAAATATTTTGAGGCAACTCCTTACTACTCATCAGTCAATAGCAGATTTTAGAAGTTTACCTCCTATCTGGAGCTCTGGGCAGCCCATTCTCCTGAGCAAGCTATTAACTGAGTCTATTTCTTTGACCAAGGGGACCAAGATAGTATCACTGATCCACTGCAGACACACATAAAATTATTTTTTAAAATTCAGATCAAATATTTCTGGACACCTGGAATTCATTAAATATATAGATAATCAAGTGAAGCCCTACTCACATTTCTAAGCTTGGCTGTCCAGCCATCAATGCGATCCAAAACCGGGCGACTGGTTGTGATTCTCGCCCACACCTACGTATCAGAAAGGAGATAGAAAACATTTTCAAAAGAGCCAACTATAGTTTAAAGAAGAGACAAAAAAAGGCTAATCTTTCAACTGATAAACCCCGCCCAAAAAACAAATACTGACACACAGACCTCCTCTGCAGCCTGTTTGGAGCCCAGGTCCGTCTCATCCTTGTGGGCAGAAGGCGCCTGAGAGCGGCATGCAGGCTGGTAAAGGAACTTCCTCAGGCTCTGCGCATAATCTCCCACCGAACGGTTGTAGTTCCAAAACGTAGGACTGTGACTTGGAGACACAGACTCTGGACTTCCTACACAGGGAATGACGCCATCATGACATCAGAAGTGACCTACTATGTTAGAATGGGGGATACTCATGCTAACTATAGCCAAAGTTTCAAATAGAGCTGGGCGATAGAACGATAACGATATGTATCGCGATATAACTTTTACTCGATAGAGAAATTAAGCTATCGCGATAGACCTCGCCGCTCTTGTCCTCTTAGAATAAAAGAATAAAAAAAAAATAAAAAAGGTCAGCCAATCCAAATTAAGTAGCGTAGAGCCGAACCAATCACAGCTGCAGCGTCATGTCGCGTGACTTGTTACGTACAGCACAAGTGCCAAGCCGCACATGTGTTTGTTTGGGAAGCAGCCAGCGCGTAATGGAGGAAATGAGTGTGCCGACTAGAAAAATCAACCGAGCGTGACCGAAGAGAAAACAGATGATGGTTCCAATGCCGGAGAGATTGTCAAACGGAAGAGCCATAGAAGTTCTGTAGTGTGAAGGTATTTTGGCTATTTCAAGTCTGACAAAAAACAGAGTAGCGCGCACTGTAAATTGTGCCGAAAGCAAGTCTGGAAATACAATAAACTGGAGCATGCGTCACACTGTGCGCCACGTTATTGTTTCGGTGAAATGAATTTCTACAATACTGTTAATTCTACTCTCTGCAGTGTTTAAATGCTTACATATACACACAGTTACTGTCCCTCCACACATACGACTCGGTTCTGCTTCTATGCCCCAGCTTTGTTTCCTTTTTCCCACCGAGGCTTCTAGACTTCTGATTGGCCAACATTTCGGCACGGTGGTTAGGAATCTAGCGCCACCTGCTGCTTTGGCATGTTCATAGCAGCGTTTT